GTAAATAAGTGACACCTTTCCATTTGCAAGTTGATACATACTAAAATGCATAACCAAAAAAAACAAAGCAGTAGATGTACGAATGTAGCAGTTGCACAATCCAACCTTCAATGAAACATGAACAAAAAATAAAAACTAATAATCATTTTCACATGAATCTGCAAGTGGAATACCTATGTACAAAAAGTAAACAAAATTGAGCACAAACAATTGAAGACGTTCACATAGCAAATAGTTCAAAGGTTTCTGGGCAAACCTTTTCACTATGCATTACAAATGAAATTGACCACTTTATACAAGCAATTTCAAGTATATTTTTTATAGGACCAATCATATAAGCATATTACAGACAAAATTATCTCAAAAAATTTCAAAATCTTTCTTCAAAACTTCCAATATAAAAGAACCAGCGATACACATACCTAAAGACACGATATTTCTTAGCATATTTGGGCAAATTGTGGTCATGTGGTAGCACAGATTATGGGTTTAATTCACTAATCATAGACAAGGCCGGCTCAACAGTAGAGCCAAAAAAGCATGAGGTCCTACATATAAAAAAGGTCTAAAATTTTAGAATTCAATAATAAAGTATAGATCATTCATTATAATTTAACTTAACAAAAAAACTCTTAAAAGATTACGTCAAAAAAATAAAATTTAAAATTTACGTCAAAAAGTGCAATCCACCTCACACATGCACATTTATTAAAGGATAAAAAAAGGGTTAACACTTAAATTAAAAAGTATAAAAAATATTTCTCTTCCAAAAAAATATTATTTATTAAACTCAATTTTGTTTTCATTTAAACACAAAAATACCAACTAATTAAATTGTTCATTCTCATAAATGATTCACAATAAAAACTAGTTAAGATAAAAAAAATTTCAATAATGTTTAATATATATTAGATGCCTAAATTACTAAAAAAACAAATATATGTGACACCATATTGTAATATTGAATATATTTATTGTAATAATATCTTATAACAGTCAATGAAAAAATGCATAAAATATAAAATATTACATATATTACTTTTACTCCTTGTGCATCATACAGTAATCAATCTGTTTCACTTAATCGGTTCTATGAATGAACACTTGACAGTGAGGGACGAGCAAAGACTACAATTGTTGCGAGATGTACAGATACTTTAATCTTTTAAATAAGAGGAGGCACAACAGGGCCGGCCCTAGGACCCAACCATTAAAAAATTTAGAGATCCAGTTTAATTTCCAGCCCTTTGTTTTAGCTTTAAGTTTTAAGGTAGTTAAAGGCCAAATATATTTCACAAGTTTATCTAAAGTGTTATAGAAAACTCTAAAATATAACAATATTTTCACAAGTCTATGTAAAATCTTTATAGAAAGTCTTAAAATATAACAAAGTCTTCTAAAATTAAATGCCTTTTAGCTTTAAAAATAACAATCTCCCTAAAATTCTTTTCATTAATTTTTCCTCCACTCTCACCGCTTTTCTCCAACTCTTTCTCTCCTTTCTAGTTTCATTGTCTTCCTCTGGTTTTTTGTCCGTATTTTTAGTTATGTTTTTATTTCTTTAAGACTTTATTCAATTTATCTGTAAGATCTTGACTTTATAATTACACTCAATTTATTGTTTGATCCTGCTCGATCCAAAACCACTAAAACTTTGAAAATAAACCATATTGTCTCGGTTTAGATCCTAAATTGTGTTGGGCCGCCATTGATCATAGACTTGATTCTTCGTAGCCATTTAGACAATTATTAGCATTCATGGATCAAATTGCCTATTGTGGTCATGCGGGGAAGGGGTGGGTGGGTGGGTGTGAAAAATGGAGTGACAACAAGAAGAAAAACTGATCATGTTCCTTTGCCATTAAACATGTTCATCCGAGATGCTTGAGTGAGTGAATGAATCCACAAAAGATAGCCTCTTGTGGGAGAGAGCACCATGATCCCATTCCCAACCACTAAAAAAAAAAACAAAATCAGATCCCTTACCAACCCCCTCTGTTAGAACGACCAGCGACCTAAGCCGTTGCTACCCTCCACTAGCAATTTTGATAAGTTCGTTAACGAAAACCTTGATAAGTTCCAAAGCAGTTCATCTTCGTCGCCTGGTGTGAAGTGGCGCTTGAGGTCAATTGATAGGGTGCCCATGGGTGGGGTTAGCCCACTTGAACTCGGGCCTAATATTTTTTAATGGAGGGTTTGGGCCTACATAAGCCCATTAGTCAGTCCAAAAAAAAAATTACACTGAAAAAAAAAAATAACCATTGAAAGTTAGGTGGTATATTCTTCTTAAAAAAAAAGTTATTTATTTAAATACTAAGTTGAGTGATCTAGCATATTATTCATTATTTATTATTTATTTTTTTATTTATTTTGAATCTTTTTTTACTTAAAAATGTAATTTACAAAAATATTAAATTAATTTTTTTTTAAATGAAGATGTATATGTATAAAAAAGGCCCACGCTAGTGGGGGCGGGTTGGGTTGCGAGTAGCATGCCTCTATTCGAAGCCCAGCCCGGCCTACTTGATAACTAAATCGGGCAACGGTTTGAGCCTACTCTACTTAGACCCAGCCCAAAAAATAATTCATGGGCCCAACCCATTACCCATGGACACTCATATCAGCGTATAATATGTAAGGATTCGTAACCCATCTCCACGGTGGGTTTCAATTAACCGGTCTATTTTTTTTTTAATCAGAATTAACCGGTCTAGGAAAGTTAATAAAATTTTTATCCAACCTCACTTTTTGATTCCCAAACAAGGGAGATATGGAACCCACTGCCATGTTAACCAACTTTAACCCATTATTCAAATATACACCTACTAACGGTTTGGAATGTCTCTACTTTATCAGCGAGGCCTTTCTTCTTTTGTTTATTAATACTTTGCTTGGAACATCCATATTGTAATAATTCTTTTCTTGGAACAGTGACATGTCCTTTATTCTTTTGGTCCGTCTTACCTTTTGTTGGTTCATTATTTTAATATCAATATCGTGTTAAGTTGCTAAAGCTGGTATTAAGTGCAAATGATGTTAAATTAGTCTCATCCTATGTCACAATGCTTGAACCAATGAACACATTCTTATGGTTGGCAATATTAAGTATAATTGATTAATCAATCTCAAAATCACCAGAAAATTATTAGATATGAATTTAACTTTAAAAATTCAGAATGTGCAGTGGACCTATTTCATTAATAAGTCACACATGAGCCCCCATTAAACTAGCATCTGATCCCATGCGATGCACGGATTATTCCTTTCCCTGCTCAATCCCATGCTTCACCCTTTACTTTTTTCTACTCATTATTTCATAAGTTAGAAAATACTGTAGGAATTATTAAATTTTAAATTTGATGTTTTAAAAATAATTTTAAATAAATGGTGGTTAGAGGGAGTTTATTGGTAGTTATTTAGGGAAATTATTTGAGTCATTTGGTAGAATTTGATTGGAGGATAAAAAATTTAATAATTTAAAATTTTTAAAAATTAAAAAAAGTAAGAGAGAAAATTTCTCACAGTCTCTCCCTAAAAAAATAATTATTAACGTTACATATTATCAATCCCAGCTAAACACATTCAGAAGGAGAAGGAAAAAAGAACCACGTACGTAATAACTCTGTGAGACACGTTTGTTTCCGCTTTTGGCCAATTCCTACATTTTCAATAGCGTCCTTACCCTCCGGAGCAGTGGATTTTATGGGATTGTTTGTTTAACTGGAAAAAAATAAAAAATTTGATTTGAGTTGATTAAAATTTAAAATTATCTGAATACACCTTCTATCAGATTAAATACCTTAACTAAAATATAATTTTACTAAATTGCCCTTGATTTATTTTAGAAAACAATTCATCAATACCTCCTATAGATAGATATATCTTCAATGAGATCCTCTATAGTTTATGAATTTTTTTACTCATTAAAATTTAGGTTAATTAAAATTCAATTTGAGTTGATTAAAATTCAAAATTCAGGCCGATTAAAATTCAATTCAAGGCAATTAAAATTTATTTTTAATCAAATTTTAATCAACACGAGTTTTAATACGTAAAAAGATACAAATTTTAATCGACTCAAATTTTAATGGGTAAAAAATAAATTTTAATCAACTTAAATAGAATATTAATTGGCATAAATTTTAATAAGTAACAAAATATAAATTTTAATTAACTTGAATCGATTTTTAATCGATGCTAATTATTTATGTTGAACTCAAATCGATTCAAATTTTAATGTGTAATTTTTTTTTTAATAGGCTAGAATTTTAATACTTAAAAACAATAAAATTTAATTAGATCGAATTGAATTTTAATTGGCAAAAATTTTAATATGTAGAAAAATAAATTTTAATCAACTCAAATTTTTATGATTAAAAAAATAAATTTTAATCGGCTAGAAATTAAATCAAATTTTATGTAGAAAATTTTTTTAGAGTTTATGTTGGGACAATTTTGGTATTATAAATAATTTTTTTTGCTAGAAATAATAGTTTAACAACAAGGGGTGTCAGTGATGTTTTGAATAATAGAGGAGGGTGTTCTTAAAAATATAATAAATTATAAGAGATGTGACTAAAATTTTCTCCAAAAAATTTATAACTTAACTTTAAAAATTTGTAATTTTTGGTACAGTACAGCCGGTAACCCGGCGACATGACGATCTCAAGTGGTGTTTACCGTATAATTTATTTTGTTAGACACAAATGCAAATATAAAATATTTTATATCTATATTATTTAACAATATATAATAATTTGTATATAAACGTAACATTATTTGTGTGATATACATCACCAAACGGTGTCGGATGATACCTGCCGAGCACACAATATTTATAATTTCTATTGCTGGTACTGCAGTGATGCATACACTTGCTTTACTGAAGGAGCTCTCTATAAATTCAGTGCATTCCTTCACTTCTTTTTTTTCTCACACTTGCCCAAAAACAATCACGTCATTCAGCTCTTAAACTGGCAAGTTTGTGCACCACCACCACCATGATCAGCGCCAACCGCCGCAGCGAAGCTTACAGCTACGCTTCACAAAAGACACTACAAGCAAAATCATACTTCTGCTGCTTCTGGAGAGAGGGCGGCGCCACCCAATTATACGACCGCGGCGACACCATCCTCCACTTCTTGGCCATCTCCGGCAACGACGAAGTCATCAAAGAACTGCTTGGCAAACGCCTGCTGACCGGTGCTCAGCTCATGAAGCAGAACGATAGGGGAGACACGGCGCTGCATGAGGCGGTGAGGTACGGTCAAAAGGAGATTGTAGAGATGATGGTGAATGAGGAACCAGGACCAGGAGGGTTGGTTTTGGTGCGGAATGAGTTGGGAGAGACTCCTCTTTATGTTGCTGCTGCTTCTGGAGAGATTGAAATTTTCGAGTTCCTTGAAAAACACTGCCAAGAAATCATAAGTCAGAGGAGAAACGACGGCTCCACTGTTCTTCATGCGGCGGTGATAGGAGAACATTACAGTAAGTTTAGCTTTTTTATTTATTTATTTCTTTTCACCCATCGCGTGAGCAGCGGCCGAACTTCTTACACTAACGTAAGAGTTTTGAGTCTTACCGCCTACATTGAGGTTTCATTATTAACCATTGTTTTATACTAATTTAGTTAACTTCGTTCGTAACAAGAGTGATCGACACAGTCAAAAATCTTATAATTCTATTAGTAAGAAGCGTTCGAGTAGCTCTGAACGCTCTCCTTTATCTCTGTTCTTTTTATGTTTAACCAAAAAAAATAATTCTTTATTTTTATTTTTATTTTCTATACAATTGTTTTATTCTTAGTTTGATACACTTTGAAATAAGACATATACAAAAATTAACACGACTGATTCATCACAATCTTTTAATTAGGTGGATGTCCCAATAAATACTAAGTTTGATTGTCAAATCTAATAATGATAAATGATTAGAACTATTATTTAGGTCAATAAATTAAATTTAAATAATATTATTCATATACAAATAATTAATACTTGTAAAACTTAAAAACAATCTAATTTGTTAACATAATGATGTCATAAGTGATATAATCTTGACGAAAAAAAAAATAGCTACAGTCACAACAATAATATTGAACCATATTATTGTCGTATCATATATAAATATGGATATGTGTGTATTAGATATAGACACACACACATATATATCTATATAATAAAATACAAAACAATTTAGATTTCAAAAAATAAATAAAATAATTTTTATTTTTTACAATTGAGATCATTTTAAATTTTACTTTGAAATTAATTCGACGGCTAATATTGACTCCCCAAATTTAATAGAAAAAATAACCCCTAAGAGTGTGTTTGAGGTGACTTTTTAGAAGTGCTTCTAGAATTTATAATCTATACTATTTATAAATGTCAGCATCAAAAACTTTTAATTTTCTATTTTATCCCTAATTATTCTGATAAAGTCAATTATACTCACATATATACTTTTATCTAAATTTTATTTTTTACTCTTATTTGACTTTCAACTTATTTTTAATGCTTTTATAACGATTTCTAAATTCTTTTAAACTTTATTAGTAGTATATATATATATATATATATATATAAATAAAGTCCTATATAAGTTAAATTATTATACACATGTAATTATCAAGTTGAATTTTACAGTTAAATATATGTTATATTTTATTTTTTAGAATGCAATAATATAATAATATTATAAGTGATCTAATCAATTTATTTAATAAAATAAAAATTAATAATTCAAAGGGTCAAAAAGATACCTAAAAAATATGAGAGATTAGTTATTCAAAGACTCATAAAATAAAATATGAGTAATTATTTGACACTTAATTTATTATTTAATTTAATTACTCATATTATTCACGTTTTTTATAAAAGAAATATTATTTAAATTTATTTACGTGTAACGTACGTCGTGTATTGCTAATAATTTTTCAAAAAAATTTTAAAAAAAATAGTATTTGGAACTACCCCACCACCATCATCATCACCACCACCCCCACCACCACCACATCCTCTACCCCAACTAGCACCTTTCCCATAACCATTGTCCCACAACCAACGTTACTGTCGCCACCCTACCACCCCCACCCCCACCCCCCACCCCCATTGTCACACCACCACCATCACTGCCACACCACCACCACCCCCTTCCCCATCACGGTTGTTGCCACCTAACCACCATCGCCTTCATCCCATCACCACCTCTACCACAATCATTACTATCATCGCCACCCCACCATCACCACTGTCATCCACCTTCACCATCACCCACTACCACCTATATGCACCACCATCATCGTCGTTACTCATGATTGTCACTATCACTATTGTCACTCAAAATTCAGTACCATCATCACCGTTACTGCCCACGACTGTCACCACTACCATAGTCGTCGCCGCTCATCACAAACATCACCGTCTCTCATCATAACCTGTAGCCCACCATAATTACCACCGCTTATCTCCACTACAACTGGTGTTTAAATTCATTTCTCTTTACTCTATATTTGTGACCTGATTTTGAAAGTGAATACAACTATATTTATGATTATTAATTTTTTTATTATTTTGTTCCTTCTACCATGGGCAATAACATGTTTAATCTAAGACTATTTAACTTTATCGCAAGCATGTTTAATGTGGCCATGATGATTGATTTTTATGTTTTGTGACCTAGGAATGGCTATTCATATAGCAGGCTCACACGAAGAGCTAGCTCAGAAACATGGTGATCAGGGCAACACGCCATTGAATTTGTTGGCCACAATGCCATCTTCCTTCAGGAGTGGGTCTACGTATGATTTAAGAAATCTAGGCAGGACGGCCTTCCTTCCCCTGCAAATTATTGAAGCTATAACCTATCGCTGTAAGTATATATATATATATATATATATCCACGTCCAATCCAACAATAACTATGCATTACGATTCCAACTTTGGTACAAGAAGAATTATTTTTATTATTAAAATATTTTTCAATATCAAATTATTACTTTGCCTCTAGTGAGAATGGCAAGGGACTATTATAAATCTTTTGGAAACTGATTTAAAGGCAATATAGAATTTGGCGACGAGTTTAATAAAGTAATTTTATGAAATTATAATTTCTTCAAAAAAACACAAGCATTTTTTATTAATGCAAAAAAGTGGTCTATATTCATATTAGTATGTGAATAATAAATTTGTATGTGCCTATATCTATTCCTATGTTATTAAGCTTCTTCACACAATAGAACAAATCGGATATGGAAAAAGCAAAAACACAAAAATAAAAAACAATCGCTACTTATACACAACAATACTAAATCTTTTATATATTAAATTGATGACCGTTTTCCTACTTAAAAATGTTCCTACCTCCGTTTAAAAAATAAAAGGTCATAAATTCTATATAATATGATCACATTTCATTAAAATTTTGTATATTAATTTAGTTATTTAGAAAAGAAAAAAAAAACAGATCAAAGGTCGTAGGCTATGTAAATTTCACCGCATGACATTTTTGTATGGTTTTTTTTGAGCAGATATGCCACCAATGTATGTCGAGACTAAACCTACCGGTGATGAGGAGAATCAACTTAATGACAAAGTTGCTGGTATCTCCAAGTTAGGAAGGTCTTCACTCACCCAACTAATCTTAGGTGTGGTATCTTTTCTGCTTCAATCTTATTTCCTTCTTCCTTCTGTTATATAAACAAAATCTTATGCTTAATTGGTTTATCAGATATGATGTAAAAGTTCAGTGTGCCTAGAATTTGTATGGTACGAGATATGGGTTTGAGTTTGGACATAATTGACGAATTGGAATTTATAGAAGAAAGATGGGTAAATTAGAGATTCACAGTATAGAAAACCATGTTAATCTCTAAATGTTTGTTCAACCCCCCCCCCACCCCCCTCTTTTCAGGCTTTGCTTGGTTTCAAGAAGTTGATGATGCAAAGCAAAAACACATACTTACAATGGCGTTGGCAAAAAATCTAATTCTTCAAGAGAAGGAATGGAGTCGCAACGTGTGCTGTGAAGATGACAACGACGACGACTCCTCTGAAGCCAGTTGGAGTGAATTTTCATCGAAGAAGAAGAAGAACAAAGTCCCAAACCCGCTTATACAAGCAATCATTCATGGCATCGCTGAGTTAGCACACGAGATCCTTAAAAATTACCCCGACGCTGTGAATTCCCTCGATGAGAAGGGAAGGAACATACTGCATATAGCGGTTAAGCATAAACAGGCAGACCTTTATGATTTCTTCCAGAGGAAAGTATTTGACAAGGACGATAGATGGAGGGCTGACGTTGACGATGAAAAGAACACCATTTTGCATCTTGCCACATACAAAGATAGCATTCCTAACGACCCCCTTGGAGTCATACAAAAAATGGCATGGGATGTGCTATGGTTTCAAGTAAGTGTGCCTTTGCTCCAAGGCTGGTAATACTTGAATTTTTAGTAGCAATATTAATTGGGGTTTACTACTAATAATGATCTCGTATTCTGAATTCAAATCATCTCTATAACATTGCGTAGTGTGATTAATATAGGTTTCTTATAGTGGAGCATATCTGGGGAACGAAATTCTAAAAATTAATTACAATCAACTATATACAAGTAATTCTTATTAAGAGTTTTTTTTAACCATTCTAAATTCATATGATCGATCACCATATAATTTTTCCACAACAGGTATATAAGTACTATTATCGCTGTGATTAAAAGTTATTTTTATTTATTTATTTTTTTGCAGCGCATAATGAATGACTCTTGCCCACATTTGATGAGTGTTCAAAACAATGAAGGAATGACAGCAAAAGAAGTATTTGAAAAGGAACACGAAGGTCTAAGAAGTGCTGCTGAGAAAGCAGCCAAAGATATGAATCAAGGCCTAATGGTTGTTGCCACCCTCATTGGCACAGTCAGTTTCGCCGCACTTTTTACTATTCCTGGAGGTTTTGATCAAACTAAAGGTAGTCCGATCCTTTTTGATGAATCAAATAATAAGAAGCAGGAAATGAGGTTGTTCTTGGGATACATAGGGGCAACTCTCTTTGCTTCGCTTTTGGCCTTAGGAACTCTCCTTTCAATTCAACTGTCACGGTTTAACATGGAGGATTTCAGAGTATCTTTGCCATTAAAATTTATTCTTGCCATTACTGGGATGTTCTACTCAACAACCTTCACTCTCACGGCATGTTTACAAGCCTACATTCTGGAGGATGCAATGACAGAGAAATGTGTTTTCGCCCTGCTTGCTGGCTCAGTATTGATGTGCCTCGTGTTCATAGACGTGACATTTCTTCCCTGCAATTACATGTGCAATGTGTTTCGCTATTCATTGACTTATAAAAGCCCGAAAATGTAGGATCTAGCATTGGTATTGGTTGGAGTCGAGGATTGTGTGGGACTATATATGATGAAGTGTGATTAAATTATATGTGTGAAATATGCATTTAAGGAGGTCTGTTTCTCTTTTCTTTTTTTTTTGATTTCCTTCAAATCCTATGGATGATTTTTGTGTTTGATTTATGGCAAAGTTTGATCGAGGACGTGTTTTATGATGTATTATGAGTTGATGATGCATAAATTGGTTTTGTACACAACCTGTCAAATGATCAGTAATAAATGCAGTAATAAAGTGGAGAGAGATAATAAGCCAAATAAGACAAGGATTTATGTGGTTCGATCAACGTGCTTACATCTACTTTGAACGGTCAGGGTCGCCTGAGTATTTTATTACTTCAGAGAGTGTAAGGAAAGTAAGGACATACAAGCAGTAAGAAAGAGATGAGAGTGATAGAAGACGTGCTCAATGGTATGAGATGCCCCCCAAATATTGACGGGTCTTACAATTTATAGTCGTCTCCTAACAGATTGAGACGGTTTATTAGTAACTAAAAGGCTAACTTGGTGGAGCAGACACCATCTTCCTAACGAATGATGTAGTTACGGTGCTTCTTATAAGATCCAATCAAATGATGACGTGGTGGTTGACTTCTTCTAAGGTGGCGTGGATGAGACTCTTGGATGACCCTTATTCCAAGGTGGCTAGGATGAGGCTCTTGGATGGTCCTTCCTACTCCCTTGGTGATGTAACCCTTCGAACATTGATGAGTTTGATTGGGCGTGGACCTCTTTTGGGATGGACCCATTGGATCTTGTCTAGTTAGATTCTTTATTCAGACTAGACTAGTAACATTAGTTGGGCCCTTGGGCCTGGCCTATCATTTGCCCCCCAATACCCTGTGTCCAATGAAATTTGGAAAATAGGGTATTTGGTTGAATTTGAATTTTGGCTAATAGAGACTTCTTTTGACTGATGAACCATTTTCTTTCTTGATACAATTCATGACCACGAGTTGTAGCAGTGGATGCTGGGCATGGGGATGCACAGGTGTAGAAGAAAGGGACGTCGAGAGTTAGGCGCCACGAGGGGGCGCCATGAGGCTGGTGCTAGAAGCAGGTGTCAAATCCTTAGTGTTGGAAGCACGCAGACCTTGTTTGCGCTAGGTGTTAAGCGCGGCAGCAGTGCTGGATGGCCGTAAAAAAGATGAGACCTGATTGCTGACATTCAATCTATTGTAGTCCCCCGGGTTGTAGATGGTTTGAATTTCAAGAACGTGCCTAGAGATGACAAAATAATGTTACTCAAACATCAAAATATCCAACATGATTACCTAGAGAAATGGGCAAACAAATCGGCTTGCAAAGAAATAGAGGCTGCTTGCGTGAGAGCAAAGACAAAGTTTAAGGTTGCTCATGAGAGAGTTGCAACTTTTGAGACTGAGCTTCTGGTGACCGTAAGAAAGTTGATAAGCTAGAGGTAGGCTAACCGTGAGGCTGCCCGTATGAGAACAGAGGCAGAATTTGAGGGTTGCTTGTGAGAGAGTTATACCTTTTGAGGTCGAGCTTTTAGAGACTCGCGAAAAAGTCACTAAGTTGGAGACATATGCTGCCTACTTGAGAGTATAGCAGAGATAGGCAAAGCTTTGGCGATCTGCGAGAGAGCCGATAACCTAGAGATATAGGCCACCTGCTTGAGAGTAGAGCAGAGATAGACCAAGCTTTGGCCATCCGCGAGAGAGCGGCTAAGCTAGAGACATAGATTTCCTGCTTGAGAGCAGAGCAGAGATAAGCCAAGCTTTTGACTATCCACAAGAGAACCACTAATCTAGAGACATAGGCTGCTTGTTTGAGAACAAAGCAGAAATAGGCCATGTTTTTGGCGACCAGCAAGAGACACACTAAACTGGAGATACAGGCTACCTACTTGAGAGTAGAGGTAGAATTTGAGGATTAGCCCAATGAAGGGTCACCAAACTGAAGACTCATTCTAATAAATGGAGATGAGAAAGGCGCTAAGGAGCTGGATGCCCTGGGGCCTGACACCTAAGAAGCTGACTTCTGAGGGCTAGCGCCTAAGGTGCTAGGGGGCCTAGGGCTTGGTGCCTAAGGGGCTGGGCACCCGCGGCCTAGATCTTAAGGAGCTTGGCTCCTGAAGGCTATCGCCTGAGGTGCTGGGCACCTACGACCTAGATCGTGAGGAGCTAGGCGCCAGAGGGCTGACGCTTGAGGAACTGGGCGTCTGAGGTGCTGGGAGCTTGGGTCCTAGCGCCTGAGGAGTTGAACGTCTGGGTAGGAGCATTGATGGGCCCCTGGTGTCTAGTGTTGAGTCTTCTTAACAATCTCTCTCCTTAAGCAGTGTGAGTTTAACCACAAAATCTGTTGATGTCTGTGCCTTTGTGGCTTCATTTTTTAGAGTCGGGCGTAGGTGGTGGTGACGATGATGACGAGGACTCACCTCACCTGACTTTGGTGACATCCTTGGCATTTATGTATTTTTGAGCTTTTGTCCACAATTCTAGCATGATTTTTGGTGGGTGCTTTATCATTGAGAAGAAAAAACTAGATAAGCATAGGCTTCCCAAAAAAGCGGTCATGATGACTTTGTCATCGAGCTCCTCAATCTGGAGGACCTCCTCGTTAAAACGAGTGAGGTAATTCCTCAGGCTTTCGTTTTGATCCTACTTTTGCTGAGTAGGTGGGTGGTAGGCTTCTAGTGGTGGCGTCCTCCAGTGAAGTGCAACACGAAGGACCTGCTTAGTTCGGCAAAGGAGCCAATGGAGGCAAGGGTGAACTTGGCAAACCACTGCCGGGCTGATCCCTTCAGAGTAGTTGGAAATGCTCTACACATGATTTCGTCGAGGATGTTGTATAGTTACATTAAGGACTTGTAGGTTTCAAGGTGATCAAGTGGATCTTTTGTACCATCAAAGATTTTGACAGATGACATTTTGAACCTTTGAGGAAGGGGTAGTTTGTCATGTCTGGCACAAAAGGCATGTCAGTTCGCCTTACGAGGTAGTCCACATTATCAAGTCATTATGCCTTCATGGCATTGAAGACGTCGGCTAGTTGATTATGCACCTCTTTGATTTTTTCATTCTAGTGATTGGGGGCTCTTTTAGAATTGTTGTGGAAATGACTCTCTTGTTCCACGCTTTGATTTTCGCCTTCATCCTCTTAAAAATGAGGGTCTCCACCATGAGAAGAGAGAGCTTAAGGAGGAAGTGGAGGTCCCTTATGGTTCTGGTGCGGGGCTCCTTTGTATGGGGCACCCAAGGGGGCTTCCAAATAGGGAGCTCTTTAATGCGCAGGGCGTGGAGCTCCTCTAGCTTGAGGTCCTCCAGGTTGTGCTCCTCCTTGTTATCTAGCGAGCATCAGTTGTAAGATCTACTGATTCTGAGTCACGAGCTGCTGCATTGTTTTTAACATCTACTGTGTATTCGAAACAAGATTGGTTAGTGGATGGCCAACCTTCTCCTCTCGTGGTGGATTATCTTCGAGTTGATTCATGGATCTGATGTTGATCGTCATTGGTATAGCAAGAAAAGTGATCAAGTGAGAATTTTGTCGGTTCACACATATGGCACCAAACTGATGATGTACAAATTAATTTTGTATACCACATGTCAAGTGATCAGTAATAAATGCAGTAATAAAGTGGAGAGAGATAATAAGCCAAATGAGACAAAGATTTATAGTGGTTCGATCAAAGTGACATCATCTACTTTGAAGGGCTAGGGTTGCCTATGTATTTTATTATTTTGAAGAGTGTAAGGAAAACAGGGAGATACAAACAGTAAGAAAGAGATCAGAGTGATAGCAGGCATGCTCGATGGTATGAGATGCCCCCCAAATATTGGTGGGGCTTACAATTTATAGTCGCCTCCTAACAGATTGAGACGACTTATCAGTAACTAAAAGACTAATTTAGTGAAACAAGTGTCATCTTCTCAACGGATGAGATAGTTACGACGCTTCCCATAAGATTAGGTCAAAGGATAACATGGTGGTTGAATTCTTCCAAGGCGGCGCTAGATGAGGCCCTTGAATGACCCTTATTCCCAGGTGGCTAGAATGAGACTTTTGGGATGACCCTTATTCCAAGGTGGCTAAGATGAGACTCTTGGATGACCCTTACTCCAAGGTGGCTAAGATAAGGCTCTTGGATGGCCCTTTATACTCCCTTGGTGTTGTAGCCCCTCGAACCTTGATGAGTTTGATTGGACGTAGACCTCTTTTGGGTTGGATCCATTAGATCTTGCCTAGTTAAATTATTTATTCAAACTAGACTAGTAACATAAGTTAGGCCCTTGGCCCATCATGAGTGATTATATATTATATAAATTCATATAGTAATAATAATTGATAAAGTCTATCAATTTTTACCTTCTTTGAGGCTTGATGACCCATTCCTTTACCCGGACAGTTTTTTTTTTGTTCAATGGTTAAGAATATTCGAGTCAATTTACACGTACATTAACTAATTTTCTTTTCGATTCGATCAAAAGCAGATCATTCACACCGGAATTAGGATATTTATGAGGCATAAATCTCTCATGACTTGAATTCAAAGAATTGCTAAAATTCAAACTCAGAATTTTTGAATTCATAACTCGTTCATGTTAACTTAAACTACCTCTTAAGATTACCCCACCGGTCAATCAACTGAAGTACCATCAATACAATTTTCAACGAAAACTCAATAAATATTATTTACACCAATGACCCATTTGGTTATCCAACACTTTTATCCATCACATAAGAGGGTTATGAAATAAATGCAATTAAAAAAATATATGCAAAATGAGAGTCATATATAATATGTCTCAACTAGATTCATATGGTCATAATGCTCATGAAGATTGAAAACCAACAAAACCAATTTATCGGATTATAATTGATTGTGTCATGTTAAGTTTTATAATAGAAACTAATCAGCCCTAACACATTAGTTTCCTTACGTAATTATTTCTTATTAAAAGTTACTTTCATTAAAATTTATGGAGAATTATATCCAGA